GGTCCTTGGAGAGGGACATCATGCTTGGGAGGGTGGAGGGACAGTGCAGGAGGGGAAGACCCTCTATGAGATGGATTGATTCTGTGACTGGGGTAATCAGGATGGGTGTGTCAGAGGCAGTGCAGTTGGCGCAGGACAGAGCAGGGTTTAGGGCTGTTGTGCATAGGGTGGCTATGAGTCGCAAACGACTCGACGGCACATAACAACAACAACATTGTTTTTATATCTCTGTATTTGTCATCAACTTGTTTTTGCTTGTGCAAGATAGGCTTTAACGTAAGCAAGATCTACAATGGTGATGGCAGGCTGGAAGTCCACGGATTATGACTGTGTTCTTCCCCAAATCTCTAAGCCAAATTCACATGTAAAGTGAAACAGGTTTTGTTTCTATGTCAGGTAAATATTTGTCTTAGTACATAGGGTTCCTGTCTATGTGTAAAAATGTTAAAGAAGCACTTCTAGATGCACTAAAACATTTTTTTACTGCAATATTACATTAATAGCAGTGGTATTTTTTACACTTTTATTCTTTTTATTTTATTATCTTTGACCATATCCCCGTTCACATTGTTTTATACGATCGTTCTCATACATCATGCCTCATAAAATTAATCACTATCGACCTATGCCCACCATTACCTTGTCTTTTTAAATCCTCACATGATCACTTCTAATTTATTCACTCTTCCCTCCGCCCACCAAGCTCTAAGACTGTGATTTCCTCCCCTCCCCTACCTCTGCCTCCCTGCCTGCTCCCTTCTCTCTTTGGACTTTTAAACACATCTTACTAGTTATCCTTCTTGGTTGGGTCCCCCCCCTCTTTTTTTATTGCTTACAAAGTTTATATACATTGTGTTTCACACAATGTGTTTCTTCCTTCACATTGTGTTTCGTACAATCATTCTCATGCATTATGTTTTATAATATTAATCACCATTGGACCTTGCCCATCGTTACCCTGTCTTTTCACATGGTCCTTCTCATTTACTTCTCCCCTCCCTCCACCCACCAAACTGTGCAAACTTGTGGTTTCACCCCTATGCATTCTCAGCTCCCCCTTCCTTGAGTTTCCATGCACATCTTACTAGTTATCCTTCTATATTTATAATGGCCTTGCGCAGTATTTGTCTTCATGAGACTTCATTAGTTCACTCAGCATAAATGCTCTCCAGCCTCTCCAAGATTATGTAGTAT